GCAGCGAGCCAGCAGAGCTAGCCAAGGTCGGCGACAAAAATAGCAAAGCCATGAGTCAGCCCGATGCTGAGAAGGTCCCCTTTGTCCTCCACACTTGCTGGTCCTGCCAGAACATCATTCCCAGCTCCTGAAAGCTATGGGATCCACGCCAGGGCTGTAAATCTGGGAGCCTTTTGCATCTTCCCACCCCCTTTTGGTGACGTGGGCTCCCCCAGCACCCACCCATCAGCCCTGCCTGGTGCAGGCCCCAGAGCGCCGTGCCGGTGGTGAAGGAGTTCCAGAGCGTGCCCACAACTGCGTAGGTGAGGATGGCGCCGATGTTGTCGAAGAACAAGCGGCTGGGCATGAAGTAGCCCGAGTCCAGGACGATGGGGGGCAGGAGGAACAGGAAGAACATGTTGGGCTCCAGCTGGTATTTGGGTTTCTTGGCCACGGCCAACACGATGCCGCCCAGGCCCAGCCCCAGCAGGATGAGGAGGCAGCTCTCCGGCACGACGGAGGTCACCTTCCTGGACAGGTGGAACACTGAAGGAAGGAAGAATGTGAGCATCAGCCAGATGGGCACGGGGACAGAGCACTGAGCATCAGCCAGATGGGCAAGGGGACAGAGCACCCTGGGTCCACTGAGTGCATGTGAGCACAAGACCTCCCAGCTAGTTGCTTGCTTGGCTGCCCTGCTACCACCACGAAGCCCAGTCCATAAAGCTCTAAATGGGGTGCTTGTGCCAATCAGCCCACCAGGAGGAAGGCTGTGCTGTGGTCTGACATCAACCTCAGGACACTGGGCTCCTTCCCTCCCTGCGAACTCCATGGATGGACCGCAGCTCTACCCAGCCCAGGGTCTTTTCACCAATGATGTAAACCTTGAGAGAAGCTCAGGAACTGGCTTCCACGTCTCTACTGCACGTGCCTGTCTGCTCTGAGCCTGTCCCAGATCAGGATCTCAGGTCCTCCACCTCCCAAATCACTGCCATATAAGCCAAGCAGTTGGGCATTTTGCTTTTTTAGTGCAGTGCTGGCAGGCAGTGCTGGCTGCTGTTCAAGTGAGGCATCCTGCTCACAGGAACACAGCATACCCCACACAGGGATGGAGACGCTCAGCCCTGGTGATGGGTGACCTTGTTTGCAGCTGTCTGAGCATGCAGGTGGAGCAGCATGCAAACACTGCAGCACGACGAGCGCGCCGGCCAGAGTGCTGGCTGACCTACCTGCATGCAAACAGAAAGTATGCGAGAGCTGCGGATGAAGGGATCCTTGCAATAATCAGCTTATTCCAGCAAGCCATGAAAGAGGATGTATTTAATGGAGCAAGCTGATCACACCCTCATATTCATATATTAGCCCTGTGGCAAGGAGCCTGATGGCACAAGGCCACGTCACGCCAGCCAGCAGTGGGGTCATGCTGCTCGTGGCAGACTTGTCCCCATGTAAACCCAAATCATTGCAGCCTCTTGGCAAAATCAGCAGGGCAACCCACGGATTCCTTTGTATTTCTCCCTCCTCCCACCACTGAGGTCTTGCAGTCATCACTGGTGACACCCCAGGGCTGTGGCACAACTTGGCCATCAGGTGAAGGCATCGTAGGGTCATTAAAGTTGGAAAAGAGCTCTCAGATCCCCAACTCCAGCCCACCTCCACCGTGCCCACGTCCCTCAGTGCCACATCCCCACAGCTCTGGGGCACCTCCAGGGACGGTGACTCTCCCACCTCACTGGCAGTTGTGCCGCCGCCTCACTGCTCTTTGGGAGAATAAATTATTCTGAACATCCGACCTGAACCTCCCCTGGTGCAACTTAAAGCCATTACCAGGAACCAGCAGGCACCTCGCCCTCAAGTAAAGGGACATCACAGTTTCCAGACCATCACAAATCTCAGTCCTGAACGTTCTGGGTGAGAGGAGCCTGTTGCTTGTGCCAATCAACCCACCAGAAGGAAGGCTGCACTGATCAAAGAAGTTCACAGTATCGATGGGAGAAGCCCTGCATGCACACAGCCAGGGCATGGGAACACTGCTGGCTTTGTTGCTCTGCACATTGCCGCCCTCACAGCAAATCCCAGCACATGAGCTGCTCTGCAGCAGGGACGGGTGGCAAGAGCTCTAATTTTACACCCGCTAGGCAAGAATTTCAGCATTAACGTTCCCACAGCAACAGTAACTCAGCCACATGTGAATTAACTTCAGAGGCATCATCCCCGCTCCAGACATCCCCAGCACGGGATGTGCCATCGGGGGGGACTCAAGGACAAACCCTGCTCCCCCCCCACGGGGCTCAGGGTCAATCATGGAGTCATTAAGGTTGAAAAAGAAAGCTAAGATCGTCAAGTCCAACCACTGACCCATCGGCACCATGCCACTAATTGTGCCCCAGCAGGCTCGGAGACACCAAAACCAATTGGTGCTGGGAGCAGTGGGGTTGGGGTTGGATGCAAAGGGAGAAGGCTGGCACCCACAGTCCCTTCCCTGCAGCCCTTTGTGTGGGTGAGGGGCGGCTGTGGGGCAATGCTCATCACTTCTCCTTTCCCTCGTCCCTGCAGCAAACAGAGCAGGAAAGGCAGCAGAGCTTGGATGATGCCTCGCTGTGCAGGAAGCCAACACTCAGCCCGGTTTTCTCTGCCTCAGGCTCTTGCCTGCTGCTTGCTCGGGGCACCCCGGCATCGTGATGGTTTCCAAGAACAAGAGCCTACAGTTTCACTTCCCCATCACACAGCGCTGAAGACGCTTCCGCCCCTGCAGTCACAGGGCTGAGAGCTGGCAGCAGCTCTTCTGCACCAGCCCGCGCCCAGCACCCAGCACCCAGCACCGCCACCCCACCCTTGGGGACCCTCTGACCCCGTCCCCATCTCCTCCTGTGCCCCTGGGCACAGCAGTGCCAGGGCTAGAAGCAGGGGTAGGATGCATCCCCAGGCCATGGGATACTGCTGTCACATCACTGCCAGCAAGCACCAAGCTGTGCCCACCCAGGTGGCTCACGGTGGATTCTCTCACCCCACAACCAAACTTGGGGCGGGAAAGGGAAAGCACCAAGGAAAACCCAAATAGATGAGCTGCCCGAGAATGAGGCATGGAGCCAGAGCTCCTGCCTCTGTGCTGCACTTGGCAGCTGGAGGTGGTGGCACAGCTGCAGGCGGAGGGCTCCATGTCTCAGCTCATGATTTATTCCTTGCAGAGGTTTAGCTGCGAGAAGGCCGAGGGAGGATGGAGCGCGAGGTGCACAGCCGTGGGCTGGATGATGCTGGAGCAGGAGGAGGGCGGCTGACAGTGACAGCAACACCCTGCCCTGGGTGTTAATGCATCCCCGCTCCCCTAGCAGCACTTCGAGGAGGACACCTGCTTCAAGGTCACTGTCACACCTCCTGGGTGCCCGCTTTGTGCCACGTGGCTCCGGTGTGACCCACTGGCGATGACCACCCAGCACCGCTCCCAACCCTGGCAGCAGCTCACCCCACGGGCTGTCCCCTGTGTGCCCACCCTGGGGGGCCACCGACGTGTCTCCTGGGTGTCACCAGCCAGGCTCTGCTCCGTCACCGCTCATCAAGCCCCCATGGCAAAGAATGGTGACCCTCCGGGGGCCACCGAGCGCCGTGCTGTCACCTCCGGGGTGACGCAGGACCGCCCTTCGGCCCGGTGTCAGCCCACCCCCCAGCTGTCACCGCTGCCCATCCCGGGGCCGCATCACCCGCGGAGCCCCCCGTCCCGGCGGCACTCACCGATCTTGGCCAGGCTGGCCACCAGGATCCAGGCGGCCACCAGGCACGGCACCTGCACCTCCTGCCACTGCCACCGGAGCAGCTCGGCTCCCGCCGGAGGGACGGCGGCGGGGCCGGGGGAGGCCGGGGTGCCGCTGCCCGGGGGATGCATGGCCCCGCACCTCCGCCGCTCCGCAGCTCCGCCGGCCCCGCCGCGACGTCACCGACAACGGCGGGGGCAGAGCCCGGCCCGCCCCGCAGCGCCCGCCCCGCCCCGGAGCTGCTCCATCCGCCCCGGTCCCCGGCGCTGCACAGGTCCCAGCGATGCTCAGGTGTCACCACCACCTGCCCCGGTGCCGCCCCCCGCAGCCGCCGCGGTCCCCAGTGCTGCCCGATGCCACCCCCACCTGCCCCGCTACCATCCTCGCCCACCCCGGTCTCCAGTCACCTTTATTGCCCCAGTCCCCCACACTGCCCCAGTGTCACCTCATTTGCCCTAGAACCCAATGCTGCGGTGTCACCTCAGCAGTCCCACCTGCCCTGGTCCCCAGCATCACCCCGATGCCACCTCCTGGTCGCCAGCACTGCCCCGCTCACCCCAAGCAGCACCTCCATGCCACCTCACCCCAGCTCCGGTCCCTCTGTACGTGCCCCAAAGCCTCCCACCCCTCAGTGGTCTCCTTGCACCTGCCTTGGTCCCCCCCCCCTTCACCACCCTGATGTCCCCTTCTTCTCCCTTGCTATCCCCTACATCCCCTGCTGTCCCTCCGTCCCCCTGCTGTCACCTACATCACCTTCTGTGTCCCCATCACCTGCTGTCCCCTCCATCCCTTGCTGTCCTCTCTATCCCCCTGCTGTCCCTCCATCACTTACTATCCCTCCATCACCTGCTGTACCTCCATCAGATACTTTCCCTTCATCACCCGCTGTCCCTCCACCCCCCCGCTATCCGCTCCATCCGCCTGCTGCACCATCACCTGCTGTCAGGTGATCACCATCGCTATCCCTCCTTCACCTGCTGTCTCCTCCATCACCTGCCGTCCCCCTGCCCCCCTGCCGTCCCCCCGAGGGACCATCCCTGCACACCCCACGCACGCAGAGCATCCCCGTGCACCTGGAGCCCCTCAGTGCCTTCGGAGCATCCCTACGCCCTCTCGCCCCCCGCAGCCCCTCAGCCCCCCATCCCTTCTCCCCGCCCCCTTTTAACCTTTTGGAGCTTCCCGAGCAAGGCCCCGCTTACACCCGCGGAGGGCGCCCGAGCGCGGGGCGGTGCCGGCGCAGTGCCGGGGCGGTGCCGGGGGGCCGTCCCTGTGCCACCCCCGGAGCGCCGGACGCTGTGCGGCGGCGGCGGTGGCGGTGCCACCATGGCGGAGACTGCGGTCCCCTGCCGGGTGCAATACCTGGAAGACTCCGATCCCTTCGGTTGCGGCAGTTTCCCGGAGCCCCGACGTGCGCCTGTTTACGCCGTGGAGGAAGCGCTGGCCCTGGGAGCGCAGCTGCCCGCTGTGCACCGGCTGCTGGGAGCGCCGCTGCCGGTAAATAAGGGGGACGGGAGGTGGGGAGGGCGCGCTGAGCATCCCGAGCGTGGCTGTGGGGCTGGGATCCCGTGGGGCTGCGCGATTGCTGCTTGGGGATAGAGGAGCGGTGGAGGGCTCGGAAAACTCTCTGCAGAGAGTGGGCACAGCCGTATCCACACCCCCACGTCGCAAGGACGTGGCTGTGTGGCTGTAGCCATGCGCTGCCATGGGGACACTGCTGCTGCCGCGGTGACCGGAGCGTGGGCAGTGTCACCGCGTGTCCCCGAGAGCCGCGGGGTCTGCCCTCGTTCCGCCTGATGCCAACCCGCCCGGAGTCGCAGAGGAAGTGGCTTTGCCTTTTCAGGCCTGTTCCCATCCGACTGCAATGGCTTGGGGCGCTGTGTCGGCATCCCACGGCACACTGCGGTGGAGCGCGGTGAGCCCCCAGCACGGCCCGAGCGTGGGATTCAGCCGCCTGGCCGTGCACGGGGCTGCGGGGCTGCCTGCCCCTTGTCCCACTCAGCGTTTGCATGGGCTGGAAGGAAAGCCCCGCAGAAAATCTTGCACTGAGCAACTTCCTCTGGGAAGTGGGGAGGGAAGGAGGCACAGCACCGGGGGTCCGAAGCACTGCTGGCGTCCCAACCCAGGCTGGAGCCTCCTCTCCCCACTTCCCTCCTGCCTGGGGATCCCCTGTTGGTGTGTTGCCATCGGAGTACTCTTTACAGTCCCTTCCTGATGGGGGGTGGGTGGATTTTCTCCCCTTCCACCCCTTTCTTCCACGGGCCTGGGACACTTCAGCCATGGCTGCGCATCTCCATGGCACCAATGCGCAAAGCTGGGGGCGATGCCATGGGAAGAGGGTTGCTGTGCGACCTTCCCCTGGGCAAACGAGCTCCGTTCGTCCCCACTTTCATTTTTTCATGAGGCAGAGCAGCAGCCTCTCGTGGTGTCCCCGTCATGGGATTTTTGGCTGCTGACTAAATGCAGTTTGTTTGGGAACACGCAGCTCCAGACATGACGAATGGGGCAAACTCAAATTTCAGGCATGCGTCCTCCCCACCCCGGAGCTGTAACGGGATCGGCGGCCCGGGGTGCCACCATGGGGACAGGGACATTGTGGAGCTGGAGCCAACCCCCCTCCCCACGCAGTGCCCACGCTGCCAGGTGCCTCTCACAGCCCCATTACTCACCGTGCTATAATTAGGAAATGAACAGTCATTATTAATTTTTTCCCCTATAAACCTCAGCCCTGGACGCTGCGCTCGTCCCGCTTCGCTCAGCAGCATCCTCCCACCCTGGGTGCCCCAAATCCCCCAGAATGGAGCCGTGCAGGATTTACTCTCCCTGCCCACAGGCTCGCGGCCCCTCGCTTCCTCTCCGTGCAGCTGATGGCTTTTTCATGCTTTCCGGAAGCCGTTTGTGCCTGAAATACCTTCCCGGCCCGCTTTCCGCAGCCTCATTGTTCTGGTCCAGGATGATGCTATCGCATCCGAGCTTCCAGCAAGTCATGCAGGGCCCCACTGAGTGATGCTCCCTCTGGGTGCAGGCTTGCTTTCAACCCCTGTGAGTGTTTTGCTTCAAAATCTGTGTTTGCTACAAAAACATGTGACCGCTACAGAGGAAATCCCATTGCAAACTACCTGAATTGCAGAGGGCGGTGGCGAAGCCGTCTCCGTGCCACTGCTGTCCCTGGATGTCCCTCTGCATGCCCTGCACCCTGCCCCAGAGCTGTCAGTGTAGGGATTTTCCAAACAAAACCAAACTGCCCCCTCCTCTGGAAACCTGCAGAAGAGCAAAACCTGTGTTGGCGATGGGTTTGGGGCTCTCACTTACCCAAAGTCCTTGCTTCTGATGGGGTTGGGGCCCCCACGTGCCCAAAATCCTTGACTGTGGTGGGTTTGGGGCCATTGAGCCATGGGGAACTCAGGGCTGGATGGAGAGGGCGGCGTGTGAGCAAGCCTGGGCCGTGTGTGCTGTGTGCCCTCCAGGGCCCTCCTGCCTTCCTTTCCTTTTTTTCCCCACTGTGGGCACTGTCCCATCCATCTGCTACCATCTGTCAGCAGGAAAGGGTACGGGGCAGCGCCCGGTAATAAACACCTCTACCAGCCCAGTCTCCCAAAGTGGCTCCCACTGCCCAGTCCTTGTGCCTCAGGGTGTGAGATGAGGAGGGGGGAGAGGCTGCAGGCACAGTAGTGTGGATTTCAGAAGTGAGCTGTGCTGGGTTGGCTTGCACAAGAGGTTTGTTGGCTCGCAAAGGTGGCTGTTGCCATGGTGTAGGGTGCAGAGCGATGCTGAGTTATGGATGCTGTGAGCTACGAGCCTACTTCACACTGCATGAAATTCATCCTGAGCTTTGCGGCCTCAAGATCGAGCCTCGACTGCACAACATAACAGAGATAAATGAGCTTCAGTAAATCCCCCATCTCCTCCCCATAAGCCGTGCTGGGAGTCCCGTGGCACTGCACTCTCTGGTTTGCAGTCCGGGCGTTGCTCTGGCTCTGCCCCAGGAGAAGCCTGCAGCTGAGTTTTAAAGCTCCTTTGGGTTTCTCCAGAAGTTTCTCTTCTTTGGGTTTCTTGGGTTTGGCTGCTGGGTCTCCATCGCCTCCATCCCGTGGAGGTGAGGACCGTCCCCACGTCCCACGCTGTCACCAAAGCGTTTCTTTAAATATGCTGAAAGATATCAATATGCCTGGAGAGTTCTGCAGCTCAGCAAAGTTGGGAAAGTGTGGTTGCCAAAAAAATAGAAAGTGTTGAAGATGGGGGAAGAAGGGGTGCTTCCGGCACCAGCAGATAGGAAGGATGCTGTGCAGGGCTGTGCCAAGATAGGGCACTCAGCTCGTTGTTGCTTGGATGGTGGGGTCAGTTTGGATGTGTCTGTCTGTCTTGGCTCTGGAGACCTCCAGATGTGCTTGTGGTTCCATCATCTCACAGGTCAGTGGTATCTCCATTGCTGCCCCATGGAAACATCTCCATTAAGTGGCTTGGAGAGGGCAGTCCTGCTCTGGGTGCATCCATGAGCCATCATTTGCTACGTGTATCATCTCTGAGCATTGAAGCTCATGGTGCTTTGTGTTCCCACCTGGCTGGAGCCATGCTCCTGTGCATGGTCCTTGTCCCCTCGGGATAAGTCCCAAAAAGTCCCCAAAACCAGTAGCCAGAGGGCACTGCACTGCTATGAGAGGCGTGAGTGTGGGATGGATGCTCTCCTCTCTTTCCCCTCCCTGGGTTCGCTGTGATCCCACACCACTCTGTAACACTTTCCCATGCTGGAGGCAAATGAATCAAAGCTGGGAGCAGGGACACAGCCACTGCCCCATGGCCTCACGATGCTGTCCCCATCAGCACAACCCAATCTTGCCCAAGGAGCAACGATGCCCAGCATGGCAATGCACCCTTACTGTGCCACGCTGTGTCCCTTGTCCCTTTCCCCGGGGGATGACATTGGCCAGGGTAGGCACATCCCACTCACCTGAGCATCCCCTTGTGGGGAGCACAGCCAGGCTTACACAGCTGGGCCGTGTCACCATCCCTGACAGCAGCCAGCTGTCATCCCCAGCTCACAGCAGGGGCCATTTCTTCCCTCTGGAGCTGCACGGAAGCTGCATTTTGGTGCATCCTGGAAGGACACATGGGCAGGAGTGGAAACCTTCCCCCAGCCCTCAGCAGTGTTTGGTGCATGTAGCCATGGCTGGGGGCAGCAAGAAGTGAGGTGAGAATGCTGACAGCATGGTGATGGACTCCAGCCCAGCAGCATTGCCCTGCCAAATTGCTGCTTATCTACAGGCTGAGTCAGACGGCGAGGCGTCACTCCATGCACACACCATGGTTTGGGCTCATTTCTTTTTGCCCTCTGGGTTTGGTGATGATGTCACACATGCAAAGTCTTGCTTGGGACACCGAGCACAGGGAGATGCAGGGGATGGAACCCTGGTGGTGCTGCATGGGGCTGCCCTGGGGCTTCCCCAGACTTTCGGAATGGTGGGTACTCACCTCCTGGCCCCTGGAGTGATTTGGGGTTGAAAGTGGGGTTTTGCTGATGATCCCCACGTCTCCTCCCTGGATGCATCACATGCTGTGTTTGGAGTTTTGGGGGGGGGTTAGTAAAAGTAAAGGGGGTTTATCCCTGCTGCAGAGAGAGACGTGGGAAGACACACGTGGATGCTGTAGGATGGGAGCAGATGCTGTAGCACCAGGGCTGCCTTTGGCCCTTCCCCTCCCACTGCGTGGCTGGGTGTGGACCTGGGGCTGAGTCATGGGGCTGAGTCAGTGCAGCCCACACACTGGGACGCCCGTGTGGGGCTCACCATGCGCAGGGATCCTGCCCTGAAGGGGACAGCCTCTGCCACCAGGCTGGGTCTCACCGAGGGACAGTTGATGGCCTGGGTCCACAAAGGCATGGACCTGCCAATGCATGGACTGCCAAGGCATGGGGCCACTAAAGCTTAAGGCCACCAAAGCTTGGGATCAACAAGGCCTGGGGTCAACAAAGCATAGGGCCACCAAGGCATGGGACTGCTAAGGCGTGGGACCACCAAAGCTTATGGCCACCAAGGCTACCAAAGCATGGGGCTACCAAGGAATGGGACAACCAAGGTATGGGGCCCCAGGGCATGGGGCCAACAAAGCGTGGGGACACCAAGGCATGGGAGCACCAAAAGCATGTGACCATCAAAGCATGTGCTCACCAAGGCCTTGGGCTACCAAGGCATGAGGCCAGCCTTGCTGTGTGTTTCCCTGGTGTGGGGCTCCCCATTTCTCCAGCAGCTCAGTGCTGGTCTCTGGGCAGGGGTGGAGTTCCTGAAGGACGTGGTGGCACCTGCGATCCAGTGGGAGCGGCTTGGGGAAATGGATTTATGGTAGGGGAGGGTGGAGCTGCCTCCTCCGTCAGCCAGGAAGGACACTGCTGCCACCCCCTGTTGGGGACCTGGGCTGGGCAGGTGGCCCCCATCTCACCCAGCTGTGTGTCCCCAGCTGGAGGACTGCACGCTGCAGGTTTCCCCATCCGGCCACTACCTGGACCTGGAGCTGTCGCTGCTGGAGCAGAAGGATGACCTGGAGGCTTTCTACGAGGAGGTCAGGTGAGGCACGCGGGGGGCACTGGGCACGTGGGGATGGTGCCCCTGTGCCAGCACTCAGCCCGTATCCCTTTGCCCTAGGAAGGGCCGGCGGCCAACGCTGATCCTGCGCACGCAGCTGTCCGTCCGTGTCCACGCCATCATCGGTGAGCTGGGGGGGATCTGCTCACCGCCGGGGCCGGGAATCCATCGCACGCTGCGGGGATTTGGGGTCATCCGAGCGAGTTCTAAACATAGCCCTGGTGAATGCAAACAAATGGCTCACGTGAGGACGAGCGCTCGGACGCGCTGAGGCTTCCCATCTGGAACGAGGGGAAAAGCCAGCAGTGCTGGGAAGGAAAGGACCAGCAATGGGGTCAGGGTCGCGCTCCCCACGCGCAGTTCCCAGGCTCTGGAATGCTCCGTCCCAGTGGCTCCGGGAAGGTTTGGCAGAGCACTGGTTGGCCTGGCCGAAATACATAGGAAAACAGTAAAAAATAGACAAATGGGTTTGGCGAGCTGCGTGCCTCCTTTGAAGGCTGCCAGCCGTGGGATGGGGACGAAGGGCAGATGGGGTTCCTGCGGGTAGCTCAGCCCCGGGGCTGTGCCTCCTGCCTGGGTTCCTGTTTCGGTTCAGTGCAGAAAACCAGATATTTGTGTCATTGCCGGGCAGCAAAAATAGAAAGAAAAGAAAATAGGGAAGTGGCAACACTGGAAGAAACGGTGGTGGTGGAGCTGCTGCTGCTCCCGCCCCATGTGTGTCCCACATCCACCACTGCGCCGTGTCCCCGTGTGCCGCTGTGCCCAGCAGCCCGTTCTCATGCCTTTGCTTGCAGAGAAGCTGTACAACTCGCAGGGCCCGGAGCTGCGGCGCTCCCTCTTCTCCCTCAAGCAGCTCTTCCAGGTAGGTGGCTCCGTGTCCCCGCTCTGGAGGTGCCCACGTCCCCCCAGCACCTGCGTGGGGACATCACTGGGCTTTGCTCACAGGAGGACAAGGACCTGGTGCCAGAGTTTGTGAACCTGGATGGGCTGACGTGCCTGATCAACGTGGGGGCAGAGGCGGACCAGAACTACCAGAACTACATCCTCCGTGGTGGGTACATGGCGTGTCCCCCCCACTCAGTGGCACTGCTGATGGAGCGTGCCTGATGCCACCACCCCGTGCCCCTGCCTTGCAGCCTTGAGCCAGATCATGCTCTTCGTGGATGGGATGCAGGGTGTCATCAACCACAACGAGACCATCCAGTGGCTGTACACGCTGTCAGGAAGCCCGGTAAGCTGCCGTCACCCCTGACTGTGACTGTGCCCGTGTGCTGTCCCTTGGGGGTTCACACCGTGCCTTGCCTTCAGGATGGGCTCAGTGCCTTGGGCTCATTGGGTGCTGCTCTTCAATGTCATCAAGAGTCCCCATGGCCCCTTTATGTGACCTGGGCACAGAGGTGGAATGTAAGAGAGGGCCCAAGCACCCATTGGCCACCAGGATGCCAGCTGTAGGACCCTGAGCCCACAGCACCCTTCACCAAAGCCATCAGTGAAGCCAAGCCCTGGAGAGCGGGTGCAGCCCCCTGTACTGCCATTGCCCTGCCACAGCCACTGTCCTTTGTCCCAGTTTCGCCTGGTGGTGAAGATGGCCCTGAAGCTGCTGCTGGTCTTCGTGGAGTACACAGAGCCCAACGCCCTGCTCCTCATCCGCGCCGTCAATGCTGTGGATCAGGCGAGAGGTGGGTGCTGCCCCAGCCCCCAACCACGGATCTTATCTTGGGGATGGTTGGGTGCAGAAGACGTGGGTTGTCCATGCCCCATGGCAGCCACGGAGTGTGACAGCTATGGCACGTGCCAGCCATGGCCAACGGGAGACCGCCAAGAGCCCTCCAGTGGGGATGAGGAGGGGGTGAGATGCTCAGGATGCAGTGCTCCGTATCCCAAACCCAGTGCCTTGGTGCTACCTACACACGTTGCTTGTCCCAGGTGCGTGCCCATGGTCCAACCTGATGGCCATCCTTGAGCAGCGCAATGGGGCTGACACGGAGCTGCTGGTGTTTGCCATGACGCTGATCAACAAGGTGAGCACCAGGGCTGTGCCACAGGGCCACCTCCTCCCCGTGTCCCCGGTGCCAGCCCCGTCCCTTTGCCACCACCCAGACGCTGGCCGCCCTCCCAGACCAAGATTCCTTCTACGACGTGACCGACTGCCTGGAGCAGCAGGGCATGGAGAGGGTCGTGCAGCAGTATTTAAGCAGCAAGGGCACTGACCTCGACCTGAAGCAGCAATTTGTCCTCTATGAAGTGAGTGGGGCACCCAGGGTGACGGCAGTGTGATGCATCCCCGGGGTTCACAGCACGTCCCCATCCCACTGCAGAGCGCACTGCGGCTGGAGGACGGCGTGGAGGAGCCGCCAGCAGGCGGGCGCAAGGAGCGCAGGAAGACAGACGAGGGGCGGCGGGGGTGGAGGGCACAGGGGGGCAGTGCTGAGCTCGACCCTCTGCAGAGCTCAGAGAGCCCCGGATCCCCATCAAATGAGACCCTCAGAACTCCGAAGGAGCCTCCTGTTGAGGACAGCCCCGAGCTGAGCATCCCAGTGGAGTAAGTGTGGGATGTGGGGATGCTGCAGTGTGACATTTGGGAAGTCCTCCATGGCACTGTGCTCTGTCTGCATCTCCTCTTTCTCCAGGCCCTGCCCCAAGAGTGTCTTCAGTAGCGCGTCCAGCCTGCGGCTCAACCTATCCAGCCCCCCAGCTGAGAAGGAGCCCCCCAGCATGGGGGAGAGGAGCATCTACAAGTAAGGGATGGTGCCCTGGGGGTCCCACCACCACGTCCCCTCTGTCCCCAGGGCGCTCTGGGGCTGGGGAGGTTCACAGGACAGGAGAGGGCAGTGTGAGATGATTCAAGTGCAGGGCCTTCACAGCATCCTTAGCCCCACTGGGGTGCGCACACCTCTGCTCCAGCTCCATCTCTTCCCCCTCACGCCTCCTCTCTGCCCGCGCTGATTCTCTCCTCTGCCCACTCTTTCTATCTTTTCCTTTTGCAGGCTGCACCAACCTGCTGCTGTCTGGTAAGTGCCCGGGCTCTGCGTGACACCTGCTTGCTGTTCCCAGCCCTTCATTTCCTTTGCTTGCACCCTGTCTGGGTGGCCAGGATCTCCGTACCACAGCTGTCCCACATGGGGTGGCACATGTGGCTTCCATGCCATCTCCAGCCTGCAGCATCCTGGTGGCGGGTCGGGTGGCTCTGATGACAGGGACAGTGCTCCCAGTGTCAGCAGCACCATGCACGAGCAGTTCTTGCTGTGGGTCCTCATGCCACGCCATCGGGATGGGGGTGGGAGACAAGAGATCTCCATTAGCGGGGGCTAACCCCTGTTTTCCCTCAGGCGGGAGGATGCCCCCTCCTTGCATGGGGACAAACCTATTCTGAAGAGGTTTGAGTAAGTAGAGGCATGCGTGTGTCTCCAGGCATGCGCTTCCTCAGGCTGGATGCTCCCAGCTGTGCAGGGCAGGAGGAGCAGGAGGGTGCCACGAGTCCCAGCTCCAACACTCGGTGCCCTCCTGGGAGCTTGTTCTTGCTGCTTGTTGTGGTGGATATCGGCTTGGGACCAAGTGGCAGAGGTGGTGGAGGGAGGTGGTGGAGTCTCCATCCTTGGGGATGCTCAGAAGCTGCCTGGACATGGTGTTGGGCACAGCTCAGGGTGGCCCTGCTGGAGCGGGGTGGCACCAGGTGACCTCTAGAGGTCCATGCTGGCCTCAACAATTCTGTCCCCATGCTTCCCCTGCCTCCCACTGGGCCATTACATCCTTGTCTTGCTGTTCCCAAGCCATGGTGCCCTTACCCACCTTTTTGAGGTGCTTGGAGGTGGCTGGGGCCACGGGTGGATCCTGTTGTGGTGTGGCTCATGCCAAAGATTTTGTTGTGGGATTGGCCCCATGCAGGGCTCGTTGTGTGGTGCTGTATGGTGTGGTTTGTCCATCCCCATCCTCACCATGCTCCCAGACAATAGCTGTCCCTATCTCGCAGAGCTCGCTTCTTGGAGAACCTGGCTGCTGCCCAGAAGGAGAAGATGTCTGCCATGGCCAAGGGACGGATCGACATCCTCAGCGATGTTGCACCACTGGAGCATCCCATCGCTTGGGATGGGGACAGCAGCAACCCTGATTCTGGCACAGAACCACGCCGCATGAGTACGTGCAGGGCCGGGTTGGGAGTATGTCCCTACTAGGAGACCCACGTGGGCATTAGGAGCCCCTCTGCCCCCAGCCCACCCCATGGTACTGGGTGCCGTGGTGGTACTGGTGCCATTGAACAGCTCAGATTGGAGGGGACCTTCAAAGATCATCCTGTTCCAATGCCTGCTGTGGGCAGGGTGTCCCCCACCAGGTCAGGCTGCCCAGGACCCCATTCAAGCCTGGCCTGGCCAGGGATGGGATGCCCACAACTTCTCTTGGCAGCCTGGCCATCCAGCACCCACAAGGAATGGGCTCCAAGCCCTACGTGCAGCCCAGCAGCACCTTCTCCAACAGGTGGGCTCTCTCTCTCCACAGGGTCCCACGCAGGCCGGCAGGACGTCTCCGACTCTTGCAGCACCATCTCCTCTGATACCAAGTTCATGCTGGACATGCTCTATGCCAAGGGCTCCTCAGAGCCAGGGAGGCAGAAGGTCTTCCCCGAGGAGCCATCGTTGTCCCCAAGCCAAAGAGAGCTGGACACGGACACGAGGTCCAGCTGTGCCGAGGGACCTGGTGGTCAGGAACAAGAGAATGGCCGGCCCCACGGTGGGCTGGTGGCGAGTGCCCACGCCAAGCTGGCACGTGCTGCATCCAGCATCGATGCCGAGAGCCACACGCAGAAGCTGGAGAGCACCGTCACGATGCCCGTCAAGAACGACGTGGAGTTGTCATGGGAGCGCCTGGAGGCTGGCCCCGTACAACTGAAAATCAAGGACTTGGACTTCACTGACCTGGGGGAGGAGGAGGACTTGGACGTCTTGGACTCAGGGCCCATTGCCAATGGCTCCTTCCTTCCTGCCAGCATCGAGGCAGCGAGTGCTGGAGTTCTCATGGCTCCCCCTCCTCCCCCAATGGTCCCTGGCTGCCCACCACCTCCACCTCCACCACCCATGGCTCCTGGCTGCCCACCACCTCCACCTCCACCACCCATGGTCCCTGGCTGCCCACCTCCCCCTGGTTTCTTAGGCCCCTCAGCCGCCGATGGTCCTTCCCAAGCCAAGAAGAAGAGGACAGTGAAGCTCTTTTGGAAGGAGCTGAAGCAGCTGGATGGCACTGTGGGATCAGGAAGATTTGGGCAGGCGACACTGTGGGCATCCTTGCAAAACGTTGAGGTCAACGCTGCCAAACTGGAGCATCTCTTTGAGTCCCGTGCAAAAGAGATGCCAGCTTCCAAGGTACCAGCAGGCCAGAGTTTTTGGGGGTGTTGTGGTCTCAATGTCACCCCATGCTGTCTTGAGGATGGGTAGCTAGAGCCTTGAGACTCAGTGGGGAGGATGGGGGAGGGGGTGATGATGATCAACACATGGGTGTGTGTGGTTCACCCTCACATCCCATGGTGTTTCACAAAGGTGAGCCCTCTGCCTGGCTGCCAGCCTGCTCCCTGTTACCTTTGCAGAAAGTTACTGATGGAAAGAAAGTGGTGGTGGTGCTGGATCCCAAGAGGAGCAATGCCATCAACATTGGCCTCACCGTGCTGCCACCTGTGCACATCATCAAGACAGCCGTGCTCAACTTTGATGAGTTTGCAGTCAATAAGGAAGGGATTGAGGTGAGCCCTGGAGAATCGGCCCAGCAGGGTCCCTGCGTGGGTCATTTCCCCTGGTCAGGAGGTCTCTGTGCCATGGTGCCCACGCTGTAGGTCCCCTGATGTGACGCGTCCCATCTCCCACCATCCTGGAGGAGCAGTGACGTTGCTGGTATCTGATGTGGCTTTCTGCCCGCCTTAGAAAATCCTGACCATGGTCCCGACCGAGGAGGAGAAGCAGAGGATCCAGGAGGCCCAGCTGGCCAATCCTGATGTGCCGTTGGGCTCTGCGGAGCAGTTCCTGCTTTCATTGTCCTCCATCAGCGACCTGACGGCCAGGCTCCAGCTCTGGGCCTTCAAGCTGGACTATGAGAGCCTGGAGCAGGTATGGGGCCACATACCTCATCTTCCCCTCAGCGGTGCCCTTGGGATGAGCTGTGGGGGAAGTGGCCACATCCAAAGATGGGGCTGCAGAGCCCCAAGGCAAGCATGGGGTGCTTGTGCCCATGGTTGAGGACACCAGGATGTTCCTGGTTGAACATCCCCCCAAGGGAGGTGACTTCAAGGGATCTCACCTGCACCTGTCCCCCATCCAGGAAATTGCAGAGCCGCTGTTTGATCTGAAAGTGGGCATGGAGCAGCTGGCCAAAAATCACACCTTCAAGTGCATCCTGGCCACGCTGTTGGCCATGGGCAACTTCCTGAATGGCTCCCAGGTGAGGAATGGGGTGCTGGGGGATGCAGCTTGGGTGCTGCATGGAGAAGACCAACCATGGCATATGCGTGCCCAAGACCACAAGAATCTCGGGAGGTGGTGTGGGTGCTGGTGATGGTCTTCTTGGGGAAGGTGGTCTCTCAGCGGGAAGGTGGCAAGATGGAGAGGCCCCACTGAGCATTGGGGTTTCAGAGCAGAGGCTTTGAGCTGGGCTATCTGGAGAAGGTGTCGGAGGTGAAGGACACGGTGCACCGGCAGTCCCTGCTCCACCACGTCTGCCAGATGGTGGTGGAGAAGTTCCCAGAAACCACGGACCTCTACTCAGAGATCGCCTCCATCACTCGCTCTGCCAAGGTGAGACCAAGCCCAGGCCCTACGCCTTCACCTCACCACCACCAGCACCAATGGACAAAATCTCCCACCCCCCTTAGGTTGACTTTGATGAGTTGGCCAACAGCCTGGTGCAGCTGGAGCGGCGCTGCCGGGCGTCCTGGGACAACCTGAAGGTGATCGCCAAGCACGAGGCCAAGCCGGTGCTGAAGAGCAAGCTGACCGACTTCCTCAAGGACAGCACCCAGCGCATCGTCGTCTTGAAGGTGGTGCACCGGCGTGTCCTCAACAGGTGGGTCCCAACCCCGGCGCATCACCGGCCCCGAAGTCAACCTGTGGGGGGATGGCCGTGCCTTGATGGGTGTCCCTGCAGGTTCCACTCCTTCCTGCTCTACCTGGGGTACCCGGCGAGCGTTGTGCGGGATGTGAAGGTGATGCCCATCTGCAAGCTGCTGCGGGAGTTTGCCCTGGAGTACCGCACGTGCCGGGAGCGAGTCCTGCAGCAGCAGAAGAAGCGTGCGGCCCATCGTGAGCGCAACAAGACGCGCGGCCGGCTCATCACAGAGGTATGGGGCTGAGCATCACTGTGCCCTGTGCTGATAGAATGAGAGGGAGTGGCCTCACGTTGTGCCAAGGGGCGTTCGGATGGGATATGAGGAATGATTCCTTCTCTAACAGAACGGTGAGGCAGTGGCACGGCTGCCAAAGAGGTGGGGGAGTCATCACACCTGGTGGTGTCCCAGAGCCGTGGGGATGTGGCACTGAGGGATGAGGGCAGTTGGCACGGTGCAGGTGGGCTGGGGTTGGGCTTGAGGATCTGAGAGGTCTTTTCCAAGCTTAATGATGAGTGATTCAGCTCAGAAAGCAAATGGAATCCTGGGCTCCATCAGCAGAGGGGTGGCCAGCAGGGCAGGGAGGTGATCGTCCCTCTCTACTTTGCTCCTGTGAGGCCCCATCTGCAGCACTGTGTGCAGGTCTGGAGCTCCCAGTGCAAGAAAGACAGAGAGCTGTTGGAGAGGGTCCAGAGGAGGGCAAAAAGATGATCAGGGGGCTGGAGCACCTCCTGTACAAAGACAGGCTGAGGGAGCTGAGCTTGTTCAGCCTAGAGAAGAGAAAGCAGTGGGTGACCTCATTGCAGCCTTCAGTACCTAAAGGGAGCCTATAGACAGGAGGGAATCAACTCTTTGAAAGGGCAGATAACAGCAGGACAAAGGGAAATGGTTTGAAGTTGAGGGAGGGAAGATTTAGGTTGGATGTCAGGGGGAAGTTCTGTACTATGAGAGTGGTGAGGTGCTGGAACAGCTGCCCAGAGAGTCTGTGATGCCCCGTCCACCCCTGGAGGTGTTCAAGGCCAGGTTGGATGGAGCCCTGGGCAGTCTGGTGTAGCATTAAATGGAGAGGTTTTGGCCCTGCCTGTGGCGGGAGGGGCAGGTGGAGCTTCATGATCCTTGAGGTCCCTTCCAACCCTGGCCATTCTGTGATTTTACAATCCTATGATTCTGTGAGTGGTCATGGTGGCGATGGGCTGATGATTGGACTTGATCTTGGACTTTCAACCTTAATGATCGCGTGATTCTGAGCTGTGTCCCCAATGCCTGCTTCTTGTCCTGCTGCAGACCGAGAAGTTCTCTGGCATCACCGAGGCATCGCCACCCGCCGTGGTGTCAACCAGCCCCGCACAGCAGGAGCAGGCAGAGGTGGGCCACGAGAGCATGAAGAGCATCCTGAGCTCACCCACAGATGTCCCTGCCCGCCGCAGTCGGGGTGGCCGCGGTAGGAGCACGTCGGAGATGGGGTGGCAGAGTGGGGTGGCCCCAGGGAGCGCCCAGTTGATGCCAGCATCCTCATGTTCCCATGCAGTGACGGGGCTCTCCAGCCCCAGTCAGGGCTCCCCAGCCCAGGAGGATGTCCCCAGCTCACCCGACGACGCCTCGGATGAGATCATGGACCGCCTGGTGAAGTCGGTGACGCACAGTGCCAACCCCCGTCCCTGCCCCAGCCGGGAACGCAGGAGGTCCCGTGGCAACAGGAAGTCCTGTGAGTCCCCAGTGCCACTGTCCCCACACCCTGTGCCCCCGTGTCCTGGCCGCTGTGCCCTATCCCCATGTTCTGTCCTCAGCATTCCTGTCCCCATGCCCTGTTCCATCCCTGTCCCCACTCTGTGCCCCTCTGATCTTTCCTGTCTCTGGAGCTCTGCTCAGATGCTCTTTCCTAACTTTTGTGTCCCAATCCCAACTCTGTGTCCCTGTCCCTGTCACCCTATGCCCCGTCTCTGTCCCAAAGCCACCCCATGCCTTGCCTCCTTTCCCTGACCCCTCCAGACCCCTAACCCTGGCACCCACGCATGCCACCAGGACCTCTTATACCCACACCAGGGCCACAAAGCCCAGTGCACAGTGACGCAGCAGCCACTCTCCTGTCCCCACAGTGCGACGGACACTGAAGAGCGGGCTGAGCGATGAGCTGGTGCAGGCGCTGGGCTTGGGACAGGCACCGGGCATGGAGGTGTGATGTGACCACCTGCATCCCATGGGGAAGGACACAGGGACGCTTGGCACGCTCCGCACCTTTGGTCTCACCTTCAGCTCCAGAGCACGATGGGAGCGATGCTCCAGAGCTGCTCTGTGGGGTCAGGATGGAGAATGCAAGGTGGAGGATGGAGGATGGAGGATGGAGGATGGAGGAGCATGTGCTGCAGTGGGAGTCGGAGCAGTACTGAGGGGAGAGGGGCTGGACCCGGACCCCCGCTGGGAGCTGGGTCTGGCTGCTGTGACAATAAAGTGATGTGACGTGTGCTGCTGGCGGTGTCCCTTGTCCCCATTCCTGGGGCATGGGGTGATGCTTCCTGCAGCATCCCCGGGCAGCCCGGTGTCCCCTTGGAGCAAGGTACCAGGGTGGCATGGCACTCCTGCATCCCTCTGCCCCACCTCCATCCCTGTGGCTCATGGCTCAGGGGCAGCCTGATGTCTCCATACCAGGGTGCAATGCCCCCCCCCCCCCCAAGGAGTTGTGTCCTCACCGAAGGCCTCCGCTGCCCTCTCTCTGTGTTTTCATTACAGCTGTTTTTTTGGCTCTGCAGGCCTTGGGGATATTTCCAGGCCTCCCCGGCATGCGCTGCCCTTGAGAGGCGCCTGAAGTGCTTGGCTTGGCTGTGGCACGCACGGATTGTGCCAAAAACACCACGCGGGTGGAGGGGGGGTGGTGGGGCCGCAGGTACGCCTGTGTGCCACCAGCAGTGCCATGTGGGGTGCACCAGTTCACATCCCCATCTCCATAGGGCGCAATGGGTGGCACCTCCAGCCCCTCTCCTCGTCCCCAAGCTCCATGCCACCTGCTGTCCCCGTGTCGTGCTGCCACGAGGGGGCACGGCGGCCACGTGCATGGCACTGCGCAGGGATGTGTCCCCGTACATCCCATATGTCCTCACCTCTTGAGCAAGGCCGGGTGGTGACACGCTCAGCTCAGCACGGCGGGCGCAGGGAGGTGGAGGACAGGAAATGGGTCACCGTGTCGTGACCCACTGTCCCAGTGCTGGGGTGAAGGAGGCAGTGTGTCACTGGGGCCGGGAGGAAGGCAGGTTTGCGCCGTCACCCTAACAGCGAGGTCCTGCGGAGAAGGGAGGTGGGAGGCGACGATGGGTTGATGGGATGGAGAAAAGGGCTGAGCCCTGAGATGAGCCCAGATAGGGGTGGGGATGCTGAGCAGGGCTTCTCCCCCCTCTGTTGGCTGGGATGGGGTGCGGGGACCTGGTACCCCTCCCTGAGCATCACCAATGCTTTGCAGCCACAAGGGGCCCCCAGCTCTTGGCAGTGCATTTGGGATGCTCAGTCCTGCTGATCCACAACACTGTAGTGTGGGAAGTCCAGCAGGAGAGGAGAGATGGGAGTGGGAACGTGAGCTTCGACTGGGAAGCAGCTTTCCAGAAGGTGAAACCTCTCCCAGAGCCGTAACTCCAGCTGGAAGTGGAGATGTGTTCTGCAAAGGGCTGCACAGCCTAACCTCACAGGTCAGAGCCTGAGATTTTCCAATGAGAAGGGGAAACCTGGCCATGGATGTCACTGGGCATCCTTCCCCTTGGGTGGGGATGGACATGGAGGTGTTCCCTGGGGAGGGACTGGCAAAAGGAGAGGATGTCCTGGGCAGGACGAAGCACCTGTGGGAGCAGTGCTGGGTGAATCACATCCTCCCAGCCCCAAGCCCCTGCAAACGGCCCGAAAACAATGCGATGAATCTTCCAGAGATGAGATTAGGGAGGGGAACAATTATCTCCAAACCTGTTCGTCATGGGAGGCTCCACCGAGCTGTAGGAACAGCCTAGGGCAAAGGGGAGCAGGAGGAAGACGGATCCCCCATAGGGACCGTGCTGAGTTCGGGTGTGACCCACCCAGCCCCACTTCCAACCCGCAGAGGTGAGCCACAATTAGCGAAATGGGCACGGAGGGCGTCAAGTAGGTCAAAAGGTAATGAGGATCTCAGCAGCATTTCCTAACAGCGAGGGGTTGAGCAACGGGGAGATGAACAAGGGCAGGCATTGTGTGCAAAGGAGCAGCCAGCGAGGGCAGCCGCGGTGAGAGAGGTGGCATGGGGGAGGGAGGAGATGCTGGGAGGGTGGGTGGACAGATGGGTGGATGGATGGACAAATGGATGGCAAAGGGATGAACGGACGGACGGACAAATGGACGGATGGATGGAGGGAGGGAGGGGCAAACGGTGGATGTTCGAATGGGATGGATGGGCAGACAGATGGACAGCTGGTTGGATGGATGGACGGACAAACGGGTGGATGGACTGAGTCGGAGCAGGTAGGCTTGGTGATGCTCAGCTAACGGCGATGAGCACAAGGGCTGCTTTGTGGGTAAATCATCAAATTACAGAAGGAGGGACCTTACGGATGGTTGGGTGACCCCTTCTCCCACAGATTCAGACCTGCATGCACTTAGGACATTACTTGGCATCCAAGCAGGAGAGCCTCCAAGCAACCTGGGGTGCTGAAAGCAGCTGAAGACCTCAAGTAGTGCCATAGCATCCAAACAGGAGAGCCTCCAAGCAACCTGGGGTGCTGGAAGCAGCTGAAGACCTCAAGTAGTGCCATATTTCTTGTAGAGAGCCATCTCTGATCCAGCCAAATGAGAGAGAAGTGGTCAAAAATTACTATTCTGCCCTTGGAAAAATAACTTTCTTTAGTGAGCTGCTTCCAAGCCTAGTGAAATGAGGTTCCTATGCATGCTGCTTTGAAGTTTGCTGCTGGGAAGGACCTTAAGGACCCCACAAACCACATCCCAAGATGGGAGATGCGCTGGGCACATCCCTCCTCCTCTACCTGGCCAACATTCCCCGCATTCCCCGGCCGGGAAGAGCCAGGCTGCAAACCCAACCGGGTCCCACCACCACACCCCAGAAAAACCACCCCAGCCTGTTTGTTGGCCACTGCCCTCCCGCCGAGCCTCCTGTAGCTGATGAAATCTGTTTTTTCCGATGGGACCAAGGGGGTTGCATCCATACCACGTGGTTCTACGACGGCGCAGGCATCCTCCATCCGACAGCAAAGCTTTTGGGAGCAGAGCCTGGCAGATGGAGCAGCGATGCTCCGTCGCAGGGTCACTGAGCACAGAGGGCTGGTGGAATATTAAAGCCTGGCAGAGCAATCAAGCCAAGTCATAAAGGTGGGAAGGGAAGGACTTTGCCCCAGCACCTGCTGCTCGTGGCACGCCCCTGGAGCAGCGCTGGGTGCATTCAGCATGGCAGGGAGCAAACGCAGCAGCGGGTTGGGGGATGGTTAGGGATCACCTTGGTCCCAAGCCCCGTAGGGCCTGGAGAGCACCTGGATGTGGTTCACACCTCACCTGCTCGGGGTCCGGTCCCATGGGGTGGCTCTGGTGGCACCGCACGCCTGTGTGCCTGTGGGAGGGGATGGAGACCCCCAGCCCGGCCATGGAGCTGTGGGGCTGTGCCCGGTGGCATCTTCCTCTAGGGTGCTCGGCCTGGGAACCGAGCCCCGGGGTGGGCACAGTGGCACCGGTGCCGCGGGCACTGAGCTGGGCTGAACACAACCGAACCGAACCGCGCCACGCTGAGCTGAACCGAGCCAACTTGAACGGAACCAAACGGAACCGAACTGAACCGAACTGAACCGAAACGGAGCAGAACCGAACCGAACCGTGCTGGAGCGAGCTGGAGCGCACTGAACAGAAATGACCCCTGCCGAGCTGAGCTGAGCTGAGCCCCGAGCGGCGCCGAACCGAGCCGAGCCGCTCCTACCCCCGCCGAACCCAACTGTGCCAAACGGAGCAGAACCGAACCGAGCCGTGCCGAGCCCGCTCCTCCCTCCCCGCCCCTCCCTCCGCTCCCCCCATTGGCCGCCCCCCGCTCCTCCCTCCCCTCTCCTCCCGCCTCCCCCCGCTATAAGCTCCCCGCGGTGGCACCACGCGGCCGGTGCGGCGGGGCCGGGCCGGCGCTGAACATCCCATCCCATCCTTTCCCATCGCATCACATGGAGCGAGCGGAGCGGTGGGCGTACGGAGCGCTGTGGGCGGCGCTGGGGGGCGGCTTAGCGCTGCGGGCGGCGCGGGGAGACGTGGTGCTGGGCCGGGCGCTGGCCGTGCCGCTGGCTTTGCTGGCCGCCGTGCAGAGCCTGTGCCGAGCCTGCCTGCCGCTGCCCCTCGGGCTCGCCCTGGCCGCGGCGTCCGCCTGCCTGCTGCTCCGCTGGGCGCCCGGCAGGAGGCTGCTGCCGGTGGAGGGCAGGGCGGTGCTGGTCACAGGTGAGCGCGGTGCGGTGCCGGGGTGCTCCGGGTGGTGCCGGGGATGCGCTCCGGAGATGCGCTGCTCGCCGGGGAGACGCGCGGACGGCGCCGGGGTCGCTCCTCTCGGAGGGGGGTTGCGCTTCCGTGGGGTGTCCCGGTGCGTGCGGGTGCCTCCCAGCCCGGGGAGGGTTCGTAGAATCGCCTGGGTTGGAAGGGACCCGAAAGGCCGTTTGCGCTCGCGGTGAGCAGAGGCTCCCGCGGCTCCATCAGTGCTCAGAGCCCCGTTCCCTGACCTTGGCTGCCTGCAGGGATGGGGCGGCATCAGTTCTCTGTGCAGCCGCTGCCTCACCGCCCTGAGTGTAAAGAACTTCTTCCTTATCTCCGATCTAAATCTGTCCTCTTTTGGTTTGAATCCGTTTCCCCTTGTCCTATCGCAGCAGACCCTGCTAAAGAGTCTGTTCCCTTCTCTCTCGCAGCCCTGCGGAGGTACTCAGGGTGGCTGAGCTCTGGAGAAGGGCAGCCCCAAGGAGGAGGGAATGATTCAACCCTAAAGTCCGGGCCGCGGGGCAGCCCGGTGCCGCGGGGCACTGACATCAGCCATGCACAGGTGTGTACAGTGCCTTCCTCCTGGCCGTGGGGCTGCAGGGAGGGAGCTGTGGGCACACTTGGTGCTGCCCTGACGTCCCGTTGGGCTCTGGAGAGCAGACCCAGGGAATCACAGAATCATTAAAGCCAGAGAAAACCTCTCAGATTCCCCAAGTCCAAACCTACTCTCACCACATCCCTCAGTGCCACATCTCCACTGGTCTTGGACACCTCCAGGGACAGTGACACCCCCACCTCCCTGTGCAGAGCCTCGCTTCTCATTCAGAGTTTCTCCTGACATCCAACCAGCTCCAAAGAGAAGGGGAAGGCTGAGCCCAGCCGTGGGGCAGGACGGTGCCATGGGGCTCACCCAGCCTGGGGTTGGCATCAGCCATGCGACGGTGACTCAGTGCTGGAACACGGTGTTCTCACCCTGTAGCACAGTGACACCTGCGGCCCCGCCGTGTTTGCTCTCGGCAGTAAATGCTTTGTGGTTGGGCAGGTTCGATTTGTGGGTGCTGAGGTGAAGCACCTCCAGGGGAGAAATGCAGCGCTGGCGGTGCCGGGCTGCACGTTTCGGTGCTTTGCATCTCTTTAAGAGCAGAGCGGGACGTTGCTGGGGCTCACGGTCCCCGTTAAGGACCTGAAATGGGTCAGAGCTTAACACCGTGCTCAAGGTTAGCAGCAGCTGTGCAGCCCCGTCCTGCGGCCTTGCCAGATGCTGGAGCAGCTGGTGGTTGCTGGAGGCAGTGATTCCATCCAGATGTTGGGGCTGTGGAGGTGCAGATGCTTCCCTGTGGTCGCAGCAGCATCCTATCTCTCCCAACCTCGGGGCTCTGGTGCTGCCCCACACCTGATTTCTCCGTTTTGAGTGGTCGAGAGTGAAGATTTGGAGCCACTCAGTGATTGTGCTTGTGAATAACAGCTGGGTGCTGTGCTCAGTGTGCATCCAGGGTTGTGGGTTCTTCCTTTGGAGCCACGCCACGGAATGGTTTGGGTTGGAAGGAGCCTAATAATGCCATCCTAAGGCTACTACGACTCCTGGCTGTTCCCTTCCTTGGCTCTACTTCCAGGCAGGGTTGTGGCCCATGGTTGGGTGTCACTGCTCTCCACACTGCTCTCCTCTTGTGCAGGAGGTTGTGTGTAGGAGTTGTACCCCGTGATCGTTGTGGGTCCCCTCCAACTTGGGAGATTCTGTGATTGGGTGCTGCCCTCCTTCAGCCCAGCTCAGTCCAACTGCTCCTGCGTATTTTTGGGGGAAATACCCCCAAGATGACCTTGTGAGGCACACAGCCCTGCGCACATTCAGCTGCACGCAGTGTTGGCTAGGGAGTGGTCGTGAGAGATGGCTCATAGCTCACAGGTCCCAATGTGGTTCCAGGAGCTGTTTCCAAAAATACTGAGCTGCCCGTGCACTGCAAGAGAAAACGGGCTCAGCCCGATGGCAGTGTGAGGATGGGCAGGATGTGTGATGGGCATTTGGTGCCATTCCAATGGGACAAACAGGACGGTGCCTTACTCCCCGTGTAGAATTCTACCCCCAAAATACCCCAGTGGGAAGGACCTTACAGCCCACCCAACCTCTCCGTGGCAGGGGCGCTCCCATAGACCTCATCCCCATCCAGCCTGACCCCGGGCATCTCTATGGATGGGTCGCCCATGCTTCTCCAGGCAGCTGTGCCAGGACTTCACTGCCCTCATAGTGAAGGATTCCTTCTGGTATCTAGCATCAATCTCCCCCTTCTAGTTCGGAGCTTTGGTTTGCCATGGCCGTGGCTTCCCTGGTGCTGCGTGTCCTTCCAGCGACAGCTCCTGCTGATGGATCACCATCGTGTTCCCGGCTCGCCGTGTTCCCTCCACCGGCCATTATTCACCCGCTTATCGCTGAGGCTCTTCACAACAACTTCCTCTTTTGGGGGGACATAAATCCCACATTAGCTCTGATGAAAGGTACAGCCTGTGCCGCTGCCCGATGTTTGTGCTCAGATCCTTGTCCCTGCCCTCAGCATCCCATCGCTGCCTCCAGCAGCAGCACGTGGGCACCGAGCACAGAGGATGCTCAGATGTTCCTTCGGGGAGTGCGACACCCCGTGCTGAAAGCTCTGCTCCAGCACTAAAGTGCTGCTTCTAGGAAATTCCCTGTATGCTCTTTCTTTGAAATGCTGACTTCGTAGCAGCTCTGGCTCAGGGGAGCTGCTTCCTCCCCTGTGGTTGTTTTTGAGCTTCCCCATGGCCCCAGTGGGACTCACTCAGTGTTGTGTGTCCCGTTGCTCCCCTGCCTGGCTGCCTTCAGCCCATGGTGTGCCCCATTGGGTTGGGCCAACTCTTGGGATGCCTTACGCCTGTCACTGCTGCACCTGCTGGCCCCATTGGAGCATGGGTTGGTCCAATTGGAGCCTCTCAGCAGGCTGCTGGTGACTTGTCCTCAAGCATGCTATCGGCACTGCTTGGGCTCATCCATGTCCTGGCTGCACGAAAGTAATTGCATTACCCCATAACTCCATTAGTGACCCCATTAGCAACCCACGGTGACGCAGCCATGCGTGTTGGGGTGCAGGAAGGCAGCTGGGTGGCCTTGGTGACAGTGACCAGCACACTGTGTCCCCACTGCTCTGGTGATGTCGGGGCCCTGATGCTGACGTACTGCAGCCAGTGCCTGCTTCTGCCAAATGGGCCTTAATTTGGGAGCCCTGCTCACATCCTCAGGGCTCTTCTCTGTCTTCGCTGCTGCCTCTGGTTGTCAAGGCAGGAAATCAGATTTTCCCCCGCTTCTCTCAGGTTTGTTAAGTGAAACATATCCTCCCAGGCGGAGGTTATGGCACATAATGCTCCGTAAGCGCTCGGCTGATCCGTTGTAATTCATCCCATCTGCCTGCCACAGCCGGCCACCTCCTTTCCTGGCCCCTCCTCAGGGCATCGGGTCCCAGAGAGCCCCTGTGGGGTTGTTTTGGTTCTTTCTCTTGTGGCTTTCTGGACATGGGGGACGTGTGGATGGTGCACCCTACGGATGATGTGTCTCACGGCTGCTGTATCCTGTGCTGTGCGTTCCAGGGATGGTGCATCCCACAGCTGGTGTGATCCACGTGCGGTGCGTCCCGTGGATGTGTCCCTTGGGTGTCCAGTCCCATGGGCTGTTTATCCCATGGATGATGCATTCTATGGTCGGTGCATCCCATGGATGCTGTAACCCACTGCTGATGTGTCCTGTATGTGGTGCACCCCGTGTGCGCTACAGCCTACGGTTGGTGCATCCCCACGGTTGATGCGTCCCACGAATACTAAGAGCAGCCAACCAAAAACATCCTTTTCCTGTAAGAGCTGAGTCAAATGTGAGCCAGGGCCGATTTCACATTAATCCTATTGAAATCCAGGCATTTAACAAAAAGGAGCTGTGTGACCAGCCTTAAAAACCAACCGAGGGATGGGGTGCACCTCCTGGCACCCATGGGCGCAGGGCAGCTCCCGGGGCATGGCGAAGGGGACGGAGAGGCCGGGGTGGCTCAGCTGCTGTGGGCACAGGTGCCGTGTGGTCCCCTCCCTCGCCGCAGCCCTGCCAAGAATGTGTTCCCTCGGCGTGGGCTGACATCACCCGCGGAGCGCTGCTCTCTCCAAGCGCGCCCGGCATCCGGGAGGTGTTGGCTGCAGGGCTGTGCTCCACACACACACACACACACACACACAAGCTTTTGTTCCATGCCTCCTCCTACCCACCCCATGCCTTTGAGGTGGTCCCCAGCAGGGCTGTGCAGATCCAACTTTCGCTCTGGGTGTTCCCCATTGGGTGGCTGTGCTCGCTCTTCCCCATCCTTTGGGGTCTGATCTGTGCCTTAGTGTCCTCTTATCCATCCAGACGATGCACGCTGTACCCCTCCGTCCTCACTGATATCTGCGTCCTTCCAGCATCCCCTCCTGCTGTTCTCCCCTTATCTGTGTGGTTTTTGGGGTGGCACCGCTTGTGGATTCCTTCTGTCCTTGCCTGGCCGTGGCAGAAGGGCTCATCTCAGAGCCAACCCTCCGCCTGTTTGCCTTGGCATCCCGGGCAGGATTTGCACGTGAGCCCCTGGAGACAACAAGCAGCTCAGCTCTAATCCTCTTGGCTTCAGCGCCCGGCTCCCCTTGTGCTGCTCACGGCCTTGAGGCTCGCACCATGCACACTCTGTGGCTGCAGTGCAGGAGCTGCTGCTCTGCACTCCTCGGGTTTTTTCCACCTAGAGGAGCTCCGGGTGCTGCAAGTCCTTGAGCGACTCCCAAAAATGTGCTGGGAGAAAAGTAGGTGAGCGGTGATGGATGTGCAGAGGATGAGTGTGCCATGCAGCGGGCGTGCAAGGTGGGAAGTGCACAGGGTGATGGCCATGCATTGCATTGCACATGATGATTGTGCAGTGCAACAAGCATGCAGGGTGGTGAGAGTGCCACACAACGGGGATGCAGAACGATGAGCGAGCAAGGTGAGGAGAGAGTGACCGTGCATAGGGACGAACAGGCAAGGTGATAAGCACATAAAAGGATGACCATGCAATGTGGTGAACGTGCCAGGCAAGCATGCCATGCAGTGAGTGTGCAATCTGCTCAGCATGCAGTGCAATAAGCATGCAAGAGGGTGAGCGTGCAACGCTTGTTTGCTTTGAGGTCTTTGCCAGCCTCAAAGCCGCTGCTTTGCTCATCAAACTTCAGGAGCCCTGCATGATGCGTGGGACAGGTGGTCAGCACCACTTGCAGCCTGGTTTGGCAGGACAGGGTTTGGGGCTCCTGTTGGGTTTCGGAGGTGCTGCTGTGCTTTGAGAGCAGGACAGATTCTGTGCCCCCGTCCCAGGAGGCAGCCGCTCACACTATGATTGCCATTGATGGCGTTATCTTTATTGTGGTTTTCTCCTGCTCCATTGGGTAATGGGGGGACGCACCCCAGCTTCTTTATGGCTTTATGGCACTGCAGTGAAGGACGTGGGGGCACGATGCTATCGGGCTGTGGACTCCAGGCACAGCATGTGCCCATTTACAGGTCCATGCTTTGAGTTTTCTATGACTGAAAGTGGGGGCTGGGTGGGCTAACCCTACGTGGTTCCTCCTGCACACAGCGTCCTGTGTGGCGCAGCTGTCCCCAGGAGCACCCGCGGTGCCTGGCTAGGGTGCAGCTGGGGCCAACCCAGCAGCACTCCCTGTTAATGGTTAATGGGGCCACGCTATCGGCGCTGCCATCAGCTGGGAACGCGCTGTTCCACGCCGCCTGTTTGCTCTCAGCCCCATCTCCTGCAGGGCTCTCCCTCGGGCACGGGGCTGGCTGGGGTGCTGCCACGTGGGACATCCCTTGGGGGTGCCCCAGAGCCTGGGAAGGGACAGGAGCACACACAGTCCCTTTCCCCTCGCCCCCATTATTCCCAATCCCCTGGGCGGTTTCGGCCTTCTAACGTCTCCCTGGCCTCGCAGAGGTGGAGGTGGGGACACTGCAGGTCCCCGTGTGTCACCGCAGGACTCAGAGCCCATCGTGCCACCATCTCGTGGGTCCCCCCCGCGCTCAGCCCTTTATCAGCTGTCAGCATCAGCGGGGCGATGGGTTTGCTGATAAGGAGTGTTTTCTTCCTCCCGTGCGAGAGACAAAAAACAACAGCGCCGTGACCTGCAGGTGCCCTGGGACAAGGTCACGTCCCTGTGGGATCCCCGCATGGCCGTCCCCAGCCATCACAGTGCTACCATTGGCTCTTGCAGGCTGCGACTCAGGCTTTGGGCAAGCGACAGCGCGGCACTTGGACTCCTTGGGCTTCCGTGTCTTTGCCAGCGTGCTGGATCCACGCGGCCCTGGCGCCCAGGAGCTGCAGAGGAGCTGCTCGGCCCGGCTCACACTGCTACGCATGGACCTCACCAAGCCTGAGGACATCCAGAGCGTTCTGCAGCACATCCAAGCCCACACCAATGGCACAGGTGGGAGCTCGTGGCATCCCCATACAGCCCCTCCTCTCGTGTCCTATCCATGGATGCATCACAGAAATCCCTTACAGCCCCCCAGGACCTCCACTGGTCCCCATCCATGGATACATCCGTATGGGCCACCAAGTTGGCTACAGCCATGCCAAAGATGTAATCCCAATGCTCCCTATATAGGGCTCCTGTGGGTGGGAGTAGCTGGTGCCCCCTGAGCACAGTGCTACCCCCAGTATCTCCACTTGTGTCCCCATCCATGGTTACATTCCCGGGAACTCCATACAACCCCAGGACCTCCCATCCATGATTGCATCCTGGGAACCAACCAACCCATGCAGGTCCTCCACTTGTGTTCATGGGTACCTCGCTATGGGCCACCACCTTGGCCATGCCAAAGGGTTTGTCTTGATGCTCCCCACATAGGGCTCCCATGGACAGGGGAACCATCTAAAGCCCCCCAGCACGGTGCTATCCCATTTTTCAGAGCACCCTATCTCCCGCAGGTCTCTGGGGCTTGGTGAACAACGCTGGTTTCAACGACATCATTGCGGACGCCGAGCTCTCTCCATTGGGCAACTTCCGCACCTGCATGGAGGTGAACTTCTTTGGCTCGCTGGAGCTCACCAAGGGGCTGCTGCCCCTCCTGCGCTCCGCTGGTGGCCGCATCGTCACCGTCAGCAGCCCAGCAGGTGAGCAGCCCCATGGGACACAGGGATGTGGGGCTGGGAGCCCCACCGGGATGCACCAGCTCCGCAGCACAGAGGGTTCAGGTGCACGATGAGCATCGCTGCTTGGGTTTTTGGTACCCATAGGCGTTGTGCAGAGTAGAGTTGAGCCACGGGGGTGCTCGCTGTGCATGTGTGAGAGCCGTGGGTCTGTGCTTCTCCCTGCAGGTGACCTGCCCTTCCCCTGCCTGGCAGCCTATGGGGCGTCGAAGGCTGCGCTCAGCCTGCTCATGGACACGTTCCGCAGTGAGCTGCAGCCCTGGGGTGTCAAAGTCAGCCTCATCCTGCCCGGGTACTTCAAAACAGGTGAGAGAGGGGCAGCCCCAGCCACTGTCCTGGGATTATGGCTGGAATCACAGCATTATGAAAGTCGGAAAAGACCTCCAAGATCATAGAGTCAAGCTTCAACCCATCCCCACCACCCTTGGGCTCTCCCTTTCACAACACCCGCTATCACTCCCACCTCACGGCCAACCTCCACTGGGTTTTAGAGGGACCATCCCGGCAGGTGCTCCCTTCTCTCCCTATGGGCTCCCCTATGAGCGTGGGCCACCTGGGATGGGGCTTCTGGACCACACGCATCTCACACGGTCCCCCTCTTTCGCAGCCAACTGCGACCCAGACTTCTGGAAGCTGCAGAAGGAGCAGCTGGTGGCCCGCCTGCCCCGGGAGCTGCTGCAGGCTTACGGCGAGGACTACGTGGAGGAGATCAACCGGCAGTTCATCCAGTTCATGAAGGTGGCCGTGGAGGACCTGAGCGCGGTGGTGAACAGCATCACGGACGGGCTGCTGGCTGCCAACCCGGCCGTGCGCTACTACCCAGGGCAGGGCCTTGGGCTCATGTATTTCATCCACCGCTACCTGCCCTATTTTGTCCGAGACTTGTTCCTCAAAGGATTATTCATCAACCCCAAGCTGCCCCGGGCGCTGCGGCCGGAACACAAGGACGCCAAGAAGCCCTGACCTCAGCCGCACGCAGGGCAGCAATCAGCACTAGACCTAAAACCAAATCGCTTTTCCCAAATCAGGCAGATGCAGATCTATTTTCTATTGTGCGAGAATCAACGTTTTCTAGAGACTTGGGTGTTTTTTGTATTATTATTATTGTATTTTTGTTTTGTTTTGTTTTTTTCTAACCACGCACTCCCCACGCCTGACTCCGCGCGCTGGGACGCACCTCGGGCATTTCTCAGCCACGTGGCAGCTCGGTGAGCACTGCCAGAGCCCTGCAGCCACTGCAGGCCAGCCCCTGCCTCCCCATCCCACGCTCCGTGTGCCCACAGCGAAGGCAGGGGCTGAGGCCACAGGCTGCGGGTGCCGCAGAGCTCCGCAGCGAATGAAATACGTGATTGTCACTTTTTAAATAAATCTGTTCTTGATAAGCCACTGGGCTCTGTGGTCTCATTCGGGGCCGTCCTGCCCTGGCCTGGAGCATTCCAAGGTATAGAAGCAGCTCCAGGGCGCAGCAGGCTGTGCGGTAGGCAGATATTTATTGGTGTAGAGAGGAGGGGGGGGGGGGGTCACAGGAGAACAGACACTCAGAGGTGACCGCAGCACAAAGCCAGGATGGAGCTGCTGCTGCTGGGAGCACCAGGCCTGTGTTCCCCACCAGCACCCCCCCCCCCCAGCTGTGGACAGGACTCCAGCTCTGCCCTGGGCCCGGGCCCACAGGGCGACGCAGTGCACAGCACCATCCCAACAGCTGGGGAGGACGGGGAGCTCCAAGCCACAAGCGTTTGCAGGGAGAAAGAAGCTCAGCTGGCTCCCAGAGCCATTCCAAGCTCCAGCAGCTGATAGAGGAGCTTTTGAGGACACCAGCACTGGTGTGAATGCTGCTGGAGCTGGAGGAGCACTGCACATGTGCTCTGGCTCTGCCCTGGTGTTCCCACAGGCTCCGTCCCAGCTCTGGCTGGGGCTGCTCGGTCGCTCCCACAACAGGGTTTTGCTACGGGGATGCAGGGATTACACAGCAGCACTGGCTACGCTACAAGTCACATTCAAACTAAACCTCACAGGGACAACACGGAGGAGGAAGCGTGCTCAGAGCCCTGACAGCAAGGACTGCTGGTTGGGGCAGAGCTGCCGTGCTCCTTGCAGTGCTGGGAGGCAGCGAGCCCCAGGCTCGGCCAGGGGAAGTGCATACAGCAGATGAGTACAGTAACACAGGTACTATGGGTACACAACAGGAGGCGTCCCTCCCGCTGCACAGGGCCAAGCCTGTGCCACCAGCCCCTCTGGACCCCTCACTGCACACACAATCTAACTTCAGCTTGAGAATAATTTAACTAGCAACTGTACAGTTCCTCCCCTTGAGCCAGTTCAACACCCCTGGAGTCTGGGCAAGGGGTAACTCAGGGAGCACGTGGAAGAGAGGCAAGGGTCCCTCAGGGCTCCAGGGGTCGGACAGGAGCAGAGCAGGGTTAGAAGATGGGAATGTAGTTGTCAATCTTGGTCCTGTGCCTCTGGGCGATGCACTCTGCGATCCACACGATGTTGCGGCACTCCTGCTCCTTCAGCTTCACAAAGGCATAGAAGACTCCAAAGTGGAACTGATTGAGGAATGCCAGCTTGTTCAGCTTCACCTGGGGAAAGACATGGCACCTGTCCACCTCTGCTGGACTGTCCTCTGCCAGAAGCCAGCCCAGGGAAGGATGGAGCAGCACTGACTTCCCCAGAAGGCTCAGGGCTCAACCAGGAGGGGTCTGACACACAGAGGAGAAATTTATATCCTCACATGCTGTGAGAACCGGCCTTTCCCACATAATTACAGTCTGCTTTCACTTTTGGTGGACCTAGCAGCAGCCTACAGGCACACTGCTGTAAGCTTCTGGGTGACGAGGACTGAGCCTCATTCCCTCCTTGGAGCACATGGCTAGCATCCTCTTCCTTCCCCCAAACTATTCTTGCAAAGCACTGATATTCTGGAGCTCTACCACCAGGGCAGCAGCCAACCCTGCTGCTTCCTCGAGTTTTTCAGAGGGCAAAGGCAGACACAATTGCTGAGAAGTGTCTCAGGGCTCACTCACCTCATGCTCAAAGAACCTGTCTTCAAGGGTCTTGTCTCCAGGGTTGCTGCCAGCCCCTTCAAACAGCAGCTTGTACTCCTGAGGGAAGATGGTACAAAAAGATATATCCACACCCTGGTACCCTCCGAGCTCAGCAGCACTCCGGGGCCCCATGCACCAGAAACAGCAACAAGACTGGGTCAGCAGAGAGCTGCCCTGTGCACACACACAAGAGCACTGGCACGTGTTGCTTCAGCACAGAGACACCAAGCTCTCTGACTCCAAGCAGCGTAAGACAAGCAGTCCCTTCCGCATGCTGCCTACTCCTGAGCTCCCCCAGCCCCGATGCACAGCAGGTCCTGGTGCCAGCCCCCTGTGCCCTCACCCCAAAGCACTCACAGGGTAGTAGTCGGCGACATTTTTGACTTGCTCGTAGTCATCTGCTCTGGCTAACTGAGCCAGCCCCTCGGGGTAGAGCTTGCCACAGTGTGGGAACAGCTTTGCTCGGTCCTCCTTGGACAGCTCAGTGCCAAAGGAATTGATGGTGATGATGAAGGCCCTCCGGTCAGCTTCAAACTGTGGGAGAAAAGAGAGTTTCACCTCAGACTGCAGTGAGGGCAGCAGACACCGGTGCTGCTCTGAACAGAGCCACATCAGAGGGCAGCGTGAGCAAGCCTGGCTCGCTGCCTGGGATGCACAGCTCTACATGTGTGGGCTCCTTGTACAGCTGATGCCCGGGGACTGCTGGGCTGAGGAAATCCCTACTTTGGGAACAAACCAAAGCGCTGAGCGGAGCTCCGGGAGTGATTTTCTCCCACCTACTGCCCTCGAGCCCAGCACACCCACCAGCTGGCCTTGGCACACTGACCGGCCACGCGCAGAACGGTGCTGGAAGTTCTCCTGCTTGTTGGATGGAGGTTGCCAAGACGAGGTGACCAAGCCTGCCCAAAGTCACGTGCAGACAGCGTTCTCCTAGGTCAGGCTGCGGTGGGATGCTGACAAGGATCACCCTTAGTGCTGGCAGACAGCATCACAGAGCAATGGGTGCCCCTGCAGGGTGTTCCAGACCTACCTCCAGGATGGGGCACATGGCGTCTGCTGTGGTACCTCCCAGCGCCTTGCAGAACTTGTAGAAGGACTCCAGGTATGCCTGGAAGACAGAGAGGAATGAGCACGTTTCCACACTGCTTCATTTACCACTCGCAGGGCCGTTCAGACAGCAAGCAGGGACGCTCCCAGACACTTTATAACACAGCACAGGCACTCTCACCCCAAGTGAACTTGGATGCCAAGCCCACACAAGGGACAGTGCTTCCCCAGGAGCCGGAGACATGAAGAGCTGTGGTTTGCTTGGTTCAAGGGACTGGATGAGCTTACAGCAGGCAGAACACCAGGCACCAACATTCAAGCCTATTTTGCTCCTTCGAGTGGTCTAACTCCAAAGCATCCGCTCGAGTCTCACATGGTTTCCTGACCCTGCTCTGGCCTCTACAAACATGCCAAGCCACACAACCATAGCTGCAAGACCCAAGCTCAGAAAGGAGCGCTGTGTAAGCAGAGTTGAGAGATGAGACGGGACATCTGTGAAGGAAACCAGCCGTCCTCTGTAATTCTCTTCTCACACTGCAGCCGCCGGGTCTCCATCCCAACTGGAGCACTGCAGAAAGTATCAAGCTAGGCACAGCCACACTGCCTCCAGGAAACGTAATCCTTTGTGGAGAGGTACCAGAATCCAGCTGGAGGATGACTGCATCCCCCAAGGGGAGCCGTGGATGCAGCACAAGGCTAAAAGTGCTGTTCAGCAAAAAACTTGCTCAGAGGAGACCATCATGTGATAAAACACCTCCCCAGACAGAGCGCTGCAGACAGAACCGCGTAAAGGGATGGAAAAACAACGATGCTGAGACACCACAAATCTCTGCCCTGTCACAAGATGGACCACATCCTCGGCCTCCGCTCTAGGAATGCACCTGGATGAGTGTGTTCTGTAAATACAGTGCCAAAGGGCACAGCTGGGCCAGCACCACGCATCAAGAGACACCGCGGCCAGAAGGCTGGAAATCCTCTTTGCCACTGCTGGAGCACAGAGAAGAGCAGAGCACTGGCCTGAAGGAAAGGAAGGCACAGACACTGAACTTTGCCTGAGGCTGGGTGAGAGGCTCGCTCACCACTTTCTGCCTTTCTCAGAGTTCACATGCAAACCTCAGGCCCTGCAAATAGAGGAGGTGTGCTCGGATATCCAGCACTTCGTGAGGACCCAGCAGCACAGACACCATGCAGACTGCGGGACAGCCCTGCTGGGCGCCCTCCCTGGGGCCCCTCACAGATGACAGCAATTTACAGGAAGCTCTCCAGAGTCCCGAACCCTGTATCCCTGAAATGATGGTGTGCTCACATTTAATAGTCCTTAATGGACTTTCACTTCCATGACGCAATTCAATTACCCTCTGCCTTCTGCTAGTCTTGTTTGTGCTTCACATCCAGGCTGATCTGTGGCCTGTCCATCCTCGTTGTCTTGTTCAACATTACCATCACAGTTCACTTCTCTTCCAGCTGAGGAATCCCAAACCTTCTTTCTGGTTTCCCACATGGAAGCATCTAAACCTTTACAGTGCCCTTCTTAGCAGCTTCTCCTGTTCTGCTGTTTGCATTCTGAGATGAGAGAGAGGAACTGGACCATGAAAAGGTGCAGTGTGCAGCACAAACACGCCGCAGATGTAGGCAGCGGCACAGGGCTGTTTGTGCAGTTCTCACTGTGAAGAGCCAACTGCTCACAACCCAACATTTAATGTAGCAGTAGCAGCAGGGAATAAGGAGAGCTTCATAAGATCACCTCTTCGTGCCTCCCATGCATCGCTTCACATTTATCCACAGCGATCTCTGTGCTGTATTTTAGTGTCCAGCCACAAAGTTCCTCCAGCAGGTTCCTATAGGCAGGCTGCCAGCAAAGGCCAGCAGCCAGCCAGCTGCGTTCCAGCACATCCACTCCAAGATGGGAAAACACGGAAGAAAGTAGTGAAAATGATGATGCCAGCGTGCCTCCGCTGCTGACCTCCCTCTGCTCTAAGAGCTGACCACTTCACTTCTAACTCCTGCTCCCTTCTTTTAGCACATTTCCACTCAAGAACCTCCCCAGGGGTTGAATACCAGTGAGAGCCAGTCCCAGAGCACTGAGAGGCAGACATTCAGTTTGGGGGCAGCAAAAGCAGAATGCAAAGGAGCATCCAGCCTCCGCAAGGAGATGGGCAAGGTAGCGGCAGCTGGGACCCAAGGTGAAGGCACCCACCAAGCTGCCTGCTGCATGCTCACTCTGCTCCCAGCCTTTCCCCAGCTCCATACAGCGAGCTGCAAGCTGCAAGGGTGCAGGTATTTATGCGTGCC